TATATATATATATATATATATATATATATATATATATATATATATATATATATATATATATATATATATATATATATATATATATATATATATATATATATATATATATATATATATATATATATATATATATATATATATATATATATATAAGAAAAAATATTATCAGACATATTGTGAAAATGCCTTTGCTCTGTTTTTATTTCATCAGCTGTTCATCAAAGGACAGCATTTTCTGTACATTTTGTTTTAGCCATAATTGGCACAATAATACGAAGGGTGAATTTGCGACTGTGTATGCCTCGAGGTTGTAATCAGGACATTACACTACTGACACTATACTACTTCCCACCTATGACAAAAAAAACCTCAGCTAAATATTATTTAATATATTCACAATTTAATATAGTAAATATATTTGATATGTTTACTATAATAATTACCACTGTCAAATAAAACGATAATAATAAAATTTAAATATATATATCTTTTGTCAGTACTACTAGCATGAGTAAACCACTTGGGGTGGATTCAATATTTCCCCAAAACAAATTGAAATACAGATTTCAGCTTTAAGTTGATTTTTTTCCACTTCTTACCTTTCACTGTGGTCTTTCCATGGGGCACAGGGAATGCCTGAGCGAGTCTTTGACCGGTGGCCATTGTACATGTCTCCAATGCCCTTATAACACTCTGTAATAACAACAACAACACAAAAAGAAGCATAAATTAGAAAGAGTGTATTCAAACACACTAAACAACTCCCTTCATTAGATACAGCACAGATCCCAACACAGGCTCATTGGGAAAATGTACCCAGGAATGCATTTTTGAGAACTGAGAAATATGTGCTTATGGGTACATATGGCCGCATTTTGTGTAAAAAAACAAATGCTACACTAGATGGTTATCTTCGTATCTACTGCTTTTCTGGCTTGACTGGTTTGCATGGTAGCTCACCACAAAGTTTGGAGGCAGAGAAGAAAAAAAAAGTGAGATGCCAAGGTAAAAGCAAATGGCCATGGTGGCTTTTCACTTCTGGTTTGCAAACACTATCGGTTGAGTTTAGGCAAGGGTGTGTGTGAGTCACTCTACATCAAGCTAATTTATTAAACACAACAACAAGCTGACCAGCTCTTCCCTCATGGATGTGCAGGATGTTGATTGGCTCTGGTGAATTCATGATAAATGGCACATATGACAAAAAAAAAAAAACCATGAGGTTTGGTTAATAACCATAGCACAAGCACTGCTGCATAAGTAACAAGCCCCCATGTATTTATCAGAATACTAATAAGGCTAATATTTAGATAAAATCAGATAACAAAAACATAAATACATTAATAAACATTTCAGAAAGGAAATAAGAGACACACAAAAATACAAACAAATAAAAATGCAAGCCTCTTCAGGTGTACTTTTGAGAAGACTCTCAAAAAGTATGGTTCCACTGCAAAACATGTCGTTCTTATTTAAATTTTTTTGTCTTGTTTCTAGTCCAAATTTATACAAGTTCTCTTTTCTAGACAAAAAAAAAGTAGTTTCTTGTTTTAAGAAACAATATGCCAATATTAAGTGAGTGGGCTTCACAGTGGCACGATTGCCTCACAGCAAGAAGGTTGCTGGTTCGAGCCTAGGCTGGGTCAGTTGGCATTTCTATGTGGAGTGTGAATGTTGCATGTACAAGTGAGTTTCCTCCGGGTGCTCCGGTTTCCCCCACAGCACTAGGACATGTGGTTTAGGTGAATTGGGTAAGTTGGCAGCTCATTTCGCTGTGGTTACCTCTGATTATTAAAAGGACTAAGCTGAAAATAAAATAAATGAATAAATGTATTAGGTGAGTTTTTCCTTAAAACTAGCAAAATAATCAGCCAGTGGGGTAAGCAATGTTTTTCTTTTTGACATAAGATTATTTTGCATACCCCATTGGGAAATTATTTTGGTTGTTTTAAGCAAAATCTCACTTATTTTTATATGTTTTGCTTGTCTAGAAAATGTAATTAAATTTACTTGAAAATGCTTCAGGCGACGTAGTGGCGCAGTAGGTAATGCTGTTGCCTCACAGCAAGAAGCTCGCTGGGTCGAGCCTCAGCTCAGTTGGCGTTTCTGTGTGGAGTTTGCATGTTCTCCCTGCATTCGCGTGGGTTTCCTCCGGGTGCTCCAGTTTCCCCCACAGTCCAAAGACATGCGGTACAGGTGAATTGAGTAGGCTAAATTGTCCGTAGTGTGTGTGGATGTTTCCCAGAGATAGGTTGTGGCTGGAAGGGCATCCGCTGCGTAAAAACGTGCTGGATAAGTTGGCAGTTCATTCCGCTGTGGCGACCCCGGCTTAATAAAGGGACTAAGCCGACAAGAAAATGAATGAATGAATGAAAATTCTGGATTTAAAAAATCAATATATATATTTATTTATTTTTTTATATTTGGACTAAAAACAAAAAAAAAGTTAAGAACGACAAACATTTTTCCAAGTGTTCTCAGTAGAGTTTACAGTTTCTAAACTCACTAACCCAACCCTAGTCATTCTGAAAATGTACTGTTATATACCTTTCTGGAGATCGCCAAAAACATCCCAGGAGCGAATTTTTTGCGGTTTTTGTATTCGCGAATCCACCAGGGGCCAATGTGAATGCTTTTTGAGATCTCAAATTTCTCTCGCGTATGCCATTGGTGCCTGCAATTCTTGTGTAAACCCACCAGAGACCGATGTGGACTGACTAACTGACCGATCGATTGACCCACCCTCCTCCTTCCCTTAACCCAACCTATAGTGTTTTCAAAATCACTGATTGACCTGCCTGCCAACTTCCCTAAACCCAACCAACAGTTTTAAAAAGAAATTCAGAAAAAGAAAAGCCCACGTCTGGTTTTTACCACGTTTTAAAATTGTATCACATTTACTTGTTTATTTTATTTTTTTGGCTTTTGTGTTTGTCTTGTTTTGTTTTTGTTTTGTTTTTGACTCAAAACTTGTCATTGTGTACAACTCCTTTCTGCCTCTCCAGTCCACCAACGTACATGGCGAGCTACTGAGCAAACTGGTAGCAGCAGAAAAGCTGTCCATACGGAGGTAAGCGTAAAAACGAATGCCGTCATACTGCCCCGTAGCGTTCATTTTAAAGACAAAATGCAGCCATACGTACATGCCTCTGGCTACATAATTCACAATCTCCAGAAATGTACATAGTGCTATGATTTCAGAATGAGCCTATGTTGCACTAACCAATAGTATTGCCAAGAACCCTTAAATATATGCACAAAATGAAAGACGAATGCAATGCAACATGATCAAATTTACCGTGAATGTTGTAATTACCCTAAAGAGAGCTCTGCTTTGAATCAGACCATGTTAACCTCGAAATTATTATCAAAATCGGCTGAAGTGCTTAAAGAAACACAGCGGGTTTGTGGAAACACAGTGCTTGTGGAAACACAGCAGGGCTCCCAGAGCTCCACAACAGTCGAATGATCGTCCCGGCGGCCTCAATTGGAACACCAGCGAAATCGATCTTAACATCAGCGCTTGTGCGAGTCCTTCAATGAACCATCTCCAGGGTCCTGCCAGTCACACGAAGCTGTCAGCGGTGATTAATGCTTGACTCATGCTGTCTCATTCCCACATTGCGGCTCCTGCTCCCTGCACATTTCAAACGGCCCCCATTAGAAGCAATGGAGATCGGACTACAGGGACCACCGTGCACCAATGCCAAGAAACAGAAAGGGGAAAGAGCTACGCCATACTTCAACATAATGAAAACAAATTATATAGATATTATGTCTTGCTGGGGAGGATTAACAGGAACAAAGGCAGGGACGTTTTTTAAGGGTTGTTTTGATATGCAAAGTAGGCACAACTTCAAAAAGTTCGGTAGGCTTCTTCTTTTTTTCACCCACTGTTGGAAGATCGCCAACCAAAACATCATGGAAAACAAGATCAAGACAGTAGATTATAAACATGTTAGTCAAAAAAAAAAAAAAAAAAAAATCGAAGCAAATATGTGTATGGGTTTTATGGTTACTGTCTGTAAACTTGCCTGGTGTACTGGAATTTTGGCTCGTGCTGAACTCAATGCACAAGCACAGAAATACACATCTAGACACTGAGGAGACAGAGTCAAGCTGGATTTATACTTTCGCCTGGCACTACATTGCGCACCTTCGCTGACTGTGCGCACACCTCATGAAACGGACGAGGCTTTTATACTTGTCGCGTTAGCCATTGTAATATTCTTTAAAATGACAGGGGGCGGTTAAAAGAAACTGACCGTAAAGTCAGACGGATAAACAGAGAAGTAGAACGTTTCCGGAATTACGCCATATCATTAATATCATTCAATATTTTTAAACTAATTATTTTTATGAATCGTTTTAATGATTATAAGCATTTTTATAACCATTCAAGATTGTTTAAATTAAACTTTGATGCATCACTTGCTTTTGTTCATATCTCAGACAGTTTTACCTTTTAAAGTTGATTAAAATATTAATGACAACAGAGCATGGGTTGCTCTAAAAATATATATATTTTTATTATGACAAGAATAAAAGCAAAAAAAATAAATAAATACACTTACTAAAAAATACTGATGTTTTTTTTATTTTTATTTTTTTATTTAGCCCGCTCCACAATTCACACATTACTGTCTGACTAGTTTCTGTCTTTTACTTATGCTAAATAGGTCATAATAGTCCAACTTTCCTGATCATTATTACCAGCAAAGCCTAGAAAAACGGGGCATCAATATATATTGTAAACCTATAGGTTCAAATATTCCTTTCCAGTTATCAAAGAAATGAATTGGTCTTTAAATATAGTTTTGTAACTATTACATTCTTTTAAATTCAATATTGTAATATATACATTAGTGTAAAACCTATGACTGATGGAAAAAACTTTTGTAATTTTGTTCCTGGGTCTCCTCTTTTGGCCATGGCCTCTTTTGGCTTTAACAAACTTATGCCTCAGATTTTTCCAAACTTTTAACAAAAACTTTTCTCCTTTACCACGGCTGTTGCAATTTCTTGCCAAGAATGACTGGTCATCCGGTTATCGCTATGACCACGAATCATAAAGATCTCTGTACAGTCGTACCTGTTTCAGACAAAAACTCTTCAAAGTGGTTCATATTCAACTCAAATCAAATGCAAACTGTTCGCTCGAGTCTCTAAAAAAAATCATGCGCTCTGCCAGCCGAAATCATCTTGTGTGCACCCAAAGTGAACCTTCGAAATCACAGCAATGACATCACATTCCTCGCATGCACTCAAGTGAGCTAGCGGACGCGTCGAGTATAAACCAGGCTTCAGACATGTTAAGGTACTTTATGAGTAACTGAGAGTTATGTGTCTCCAGTCATGGTACCGGTGGAAATAGCCATGTTTCTATCCAAACTTTGAAATTGAATGGTTCTTATTTTCATAATACCATAAAAAACAAACTAGCATGCAAATAAATTGATATAACACTGATCAACTTGAGTACTACATTGCAAAAATGCTTTTAAAAACTAAAAGTTTTTGTCTTCTTTGTAGTCCAAATATCTAAAGACTCTTAAATCAAGAAGCATTTACTAGACAAGCAAAAAATATAGTGAGTTTTTTAAGACACCTGAAAAATCACCTGAAGGACTCCAAGATGGTGAGAAATAATGTTCTCAGGTCTGATGAGACCAAGACAGAACTTTTGGCCTTAATTCTAAGTGGTATGTGTGGTGAAAACCAGCCACTGCTTATCACTTTTCCAGTACAGTCCCAACAATGAAGCATGGTAGTGGCATTACGCTGTGAAGATGTTTTTCAGCTGCAGGCAAAGGACGAGGGAAATATGAATGCGGCCAAGTACAGAGATGTCCTAGATGAAAACTTTTTCTAGAGTGCTCAAGACCGAAGGTTTACCATCCAACAAGACAATGACCCTAAACACAAAGCTAAAATAACGAAGGAGTGGCTTCACGACAACTCTATGACTGTTCTTGAAGGGCCTAGCAAGAGCACTGACTTAAACCCAGTTGGCCTAAAAATGGCTGTCCAACAAAATTTACCATCCAACCTGACAGAACTGGGGCCTCATGTACGAAGACTTGCGTGGAAATCTTACTAAAACATTGCGTACGCACAAAGCTGTAAATGTGCGTACGCAGAAAAAAATTCAGATGTATGAAACACTGCGTACACCGAATCTCACGCATATTCTTTTGTACATCCGAATGAACGTGAAACTGAGCGCAACATGCACGAGTGCAAAACCCCTCCCTGCCTCCTCCCCCGTATGAATATGCTAATGACTATGCTAATGGCAAAACCCAACGAAAAAGCAATGGCAAAAGCAAAGCAAGCAAAAAGAGAAACTTTGAACAGAATGTGAATTGGAGGTGCTGCTTTCGGAGGTAAACCGGAGAAAAGCGGTTTTATTTGCAAGTTTTTTCTCCGGAATTAACAACAAAAGAAAAAAAATAGAGTGGGAGAGTTTAGCTGATGCGGTTAACACAGTTGGGTCTGAACATCGCACTGAGTGCATTAAAAAAAAAAATAGTCTGGTTTATATCTGTAAAATGTTGCAGCACTCTTAACAGTCTCAGTGGCGCAGCTCGTAAGACGCATGTGGTCATGTTTTGACATGTTTGAGCATGAACTCGGCTCGAATCAAGCGTCTGATGAACTCTTTCTTCTTTTTTTCCCCCGCTACATATCAGATTTTGCCTACTATTTATCACGAGAAAGACAAGTAGGAATCATCAATAAGTTCATATCAATAAGCATCATATTTTATTTGCACATTTATTGAATGAAAATTTTTCTGATTCACGAATGCAAATTCATCTTCAGATGGTGCCTTTATAGCAATGTGCGTGCGGTAGATTGCTCAGATTACATTGGGAAAACAGACGACCACTGCAAATTGTGCTTTAATGTTTAGCTGCTCAACTGTATGGTATGTAAACCTTATTTACCTGCTAGATGAACCCGTCTCATACAGTTGCCATTGCAAGGCTCAGACACTTTGTAGAGAGGAATTTAACACATTTGCCTCTAGGAGTCGCCAATGGAAATAAAACATACACGCACAAAAAATGTGCGTACGCCAGCCATAAAGCTGGCGTGGAGCTGCGCACATTCCCACGTTCAGTTCATTGTTAGTAAATCCAAACGTGAGCGATTCTGAGCGTGAAACCTGGCGTACGCAAAGTTTTTGTGCGTACGCAGCGTTGATACATGAGGCCCCTGGAGAGTATCTGCAAGGAGAAATGACAAAGGATCTCCAAATCCAAGTGTGAAAAACTTGTTGCATCTTTCCAAAACCGACTCATAGCTGTATTACAGTAGATCAATAATGTGCTAAAATACTGAGCAAATTGTTTGAATACTTAGAAAATGACCATGTCATATTTCAGTTTTTCATTCTTTTTTTTACATCTGCAAAAATGTCAACAATTCTGTGTTTTTCTGTCATTACAGGGTGCTGTGTGTACATCAATGAGAAGAAAAATGAACATTGAATGATTTTAGCAAATAGTTGCAATATAACAAAGAGGGAAACATTTAAGGGTGTCTGAATACTTTCCATACCCACTGTATTTGCTGATACAGTAGTTGCATTAATTATTAGTTGAAAGGACCCTTATCACAAGACTGTGTTATGAAACATTTAACTGTCCTCAGCATCTTAAATCTATTTGAAATGCAGAGTGTATGGGACAGAGCAGTAAATTTGACGTTGTTCTCTCTTCTGGCTGCCCTTATCAGTCTTACACATTTTTCTTTTACCTTTTTCTGAAAGTCTTGATAACACCATCGCCAAGTTTTTCTATTATTATTTCAGCCAATAGGACTGTAAAAACAAAAATTTGTTGTACTCTCCATTCGCTGATTTCACCCAACTATTTTGCTTTAGAGAAACCCGAAAATATGAAAAGGGTCCATAGGTGTACCAAAATAAGTGTTGATGAATGTAATTCCATGCAGCAGAATAAAAAAGGAAGCAGTATCTTAAAAATACTTTTACCTCCAGGTTCAGGAGGTTTGACTCCACAGCGAGGGATGTTGGTGCAGAAAGCTATAGGCACAGTGGGATCAGTAGTGAAGCACCATGGGAGATGACGACCATCAGGATTTCTACAGTAGTTCTCCCGCAGATCCCTGCAGTGCAGATAGACAGTTAATCATATACATGTTGCTCTTACGGAGCATATGCCGAACAAACCGAGAGCTTAAAACTACAGATTTGAAGCATTATCTGCAGTTTGTTTTAAATCTAAACTTGCATGATGACAGATAACAGGCTGAGAGAGGAAACATTCAGGTTTTCTGAGCAATGACACAGAACAGAAGCTGGCAGAAAGCCCTTGCTGATAAAAAAACCTGCATACCTGGTGAACATATGTATTTTTAGGGAAACATGATTTAGTTGGACAGATTATACACACATACAGAAACACACACACGCAAATTGGCGCAGAAGTATTATTTTCATAAAATTAATATAAAGTGCACAAACAATTTCAAAAATAATTCCAAGAAATCAAGTAGCACCTAATCAAAACTTTTTTTTTTACTTTCTTTACATTATTTACAAGTTTTTTAATGCATGATAAAAAAGTTAATTTTCAAAAATGTTTACATATAGTGTTGACAAGCCTTAAAGCATTCTCGTTATTTTTATTTGTTGTTGATGTTATGTTTGCTGTATTTCTGTAATTTAAATAATAAATTAATTATATAATTAAGTATTTATTTATAACACAAAATTTATCTTATATTAATAATAAAAAATAATAGTAATAAATAACTATTTTAAATTGCCTTAATTATTTTAAATTGTATATATATATATATATATATATATATATATATATATATATATATATATATATATAAAAAAAAAATATATATATATATAGATATAGAGATAGAGAGATAGAGAGATATATAATATATATATATATAGATATAGATATATAGATAGAGAGATAGAAAGAAATAAAATATATATATATATATATATAGATATATATAGAGAGAGAGAGAGAGAAATATAATATATATATATATATATATAGATATATATATAGAGAGATAGAGAGAAATAAAATATATATATATATATATATATATAGATATAGAGAGAGAGAGAGAGAGAGATACATAGTATATATATATAGAGATATAGAGATATAGATAGAGAGAGAGAGAGATACATAATATATATATATATAGATATATAGATATATAGAGAGAGAGAGAGAGAGATTCAGAATATATATATATAGAGATATAGAGATAGAGAGAGAGAGAGAGCGAGAGACCTAGTATATATATATATATATATATATAGATATATAGAGAGAGAGAGAGCGAGATTCCAAGTATCTATATATATATATATATAGATATAGAGATATAGAGAGA